TGCACTTTTTTTGTTTTGGGATATTTGCGTGTACTTAACTGCATAATTTGCAAATTAGGAAATGAAAAGGGAATGTATGTTAGTTTCCGAATAGTTTGAAAGCTTTCATTGTTCTGTGAGGAAAGAATAAGCCATATACTTGGGTTTTGCAGCTCTCTCCTCTTTCTGGCCACAGATCTACTGTCAATTGCTGTTTTCCTGATTGCCAACCCAAGGCGGGCTCCAAGACAAAGCAGCATTCCATCCTGACCCTAGACATTCTATCAGGCAGAAATCCATGGTTAAGAATCATCTACAATTTTGGTCTAGACAACAAACAGCACAGGGTACATCATAGCTGATCTTATCCTGTTTTTGCTCAAATTCCATACTGTTAGTTTCCATCAGCTACAATTTTCCTTACCTTGTCTCGAAGATCATTCAGATCAATTTGAATGTCTCAACTGAGAGCAGCAAAATTTTGGATTAAGCAAAGGACCTTTGTTGCATGGTTAGGGGCGTTGCATGAAATCCGCTGTTCACTGGAGGAATGAAAAGCAATTCTTTATTTTTCACCCTTCTAGAACATGAGTTTACTACTGCAGTTTAACAACACCAGGCTATGACAGGGCTAAAGAAACAAAAATGTGTCCTTTCCACAGATGCTGGGAACTGACAGTATGGAATTTGAGCAAAAGCAAGATAAGATCAGCTATGATGTACCCTGTGCTGTTTGTTGTCTAGACTGATACGTGAATGATGGATGCTGTGGTAATTTTAGCCCAGAAGAGTCACTGCCTAAAGGACACCAGAGAAAATAAATAGGAAAACATAATAGTGATTTCACAATTACAGTGGACTTTAATTCCATGACGAGTACCAGAAGGTAGTCTTGATGATTATTTGCACTGAGATCAATATTTTTACTGGGATTTTTGCCTTCCCTAATTGTGTTCACATATCAGCTTCAGTCAGCATTAGTCTTTGATCAAGAAAAGTCACCCTTTTTTTTTTGGCTACTGTATGTGAATGGGTTTGACCTACTTCTGGAAGATTTTTTATTGTTAATCCAGTTGTAATTTTGTCTAAATTTCAAACACTAATAATAACATGAAATTTTAGACTTGAAACTATCCGTCTTCCTCATGAATAATTCTTTGTTGGATCTGAGCTAAAGTGATTCAATTTATAATCAAATCTAATGTACCTTTTTGGAATTTCAGTAATTTTGTTCAATGTATGAGAGGATTAAATTGTGCACATAATTTTGCTTTGTCGTTGATCTATAAACTGATAGATGCAGGAACATAAGTAAGCAAACTGAATTTCTCAGCAGCCTACTGATGCCTAACAGCATACTCTGTCAGTTGCTTTGGGTGGCTAGAAACTAGAAATTGCTTTGCAGTGGGAGATCAATGTATCGATACATGGGCACTTCCAAACTAAAGCATGTGTTCTTTCAGCGCAACCAACACGTTGCTCCTGCTCTGACAATTACCTGTTGGTGGGCTTCTTTTGTTCTCGGTGCTGTAATCTAATTTTGGGTCCTATTTACATCTCCTTGCCCTGCTTGGCAACAAGGCCTTTTTAAGAAGGTGGTAATCCAGATGCCAGTGTTGTGCTGGTGAAGCTGCTGTCCTTGTATTGATTAACACCAGGTGAAGGCAAGAAAATAGACTCTCTTTGGTGATTTGATAGGAAAAATGGGATCCTCCCATTGTTTCGTTGTGGCCTCCTCTACATCGGGGAAACCAAGCGGAGGCTTGGGGACCGCTTTGCGGAACACCTACACTCGGTTTGCACGAAACAACTGCACGTCCCAGTCGCGAACCATTTCAACTCCCCCTCTCATTCCTCAGACGACATGTCTATCTTGGGCCTCCTGCAGTGCCATAATGATGCCACCCGAAGGTTGCAGGAACAGCAACTCATATTCCGCTTGGGAACCCTGCAGCCCAATGGTATCAATGTGGACTTCACAAGCTTCAAAATCTCACCTCTCCCTACGGCATCCCAAAACCAGCCCAGCTTGTCCCTGCCTCCCTAACCTGTCCTTCCTCCCACCTATCCCCTCCTCCCACCTCAAGCCCCAGCCCCATCTCCTACCTACTCGCCTCATCCCGCCCCCTTGACCTGTCCATCCTCCCTGGACTGACCTATCCCCTCCCTAACTTCCCACCTACACTCACCTTTTACTGGCTCCATCCCCGCCTCTTAGACCTGTCTGTCTCCTCTCCACCTATCTTCTCCTCTATCCACCTCCCCCTCTCTCCCTATTTATTTCAGAACCACCTTCCCCTCCCCCACTTCTGAAGAAGGGTCTAGGCCCAAAACGTCAGCTTTCCTGCTCCTCTGATGCTGCTTGGCCTGCTGTGTTCATCCAGCTCTACACCTTGTTATCTCCTCCCATTGTTGCCTCTTTTAATGTATGCAGGTACTGGGTTCTGACAAATCTCCAAAGTTATTGGAGAAGAGACAAATGTTGACAACATTCCAGTTAAGTCATTATTAGAATACAATCTCTTAAAATTAGTTGTAACTTTGCGCAGGCTCGACGGCTGCAAAATTTACATGTAGGAAATATTTCATGTAACTGCACATATAACCAGTAGGTGGTGCAATTTGTTTGATAACCTCCCTGGTAAAACAGACAAAAATTGCATTCATATTAAATCATAGAATCCCTACAGTGTGGAAACAGGCCCTTCAGCCCAACAAGTCCACACCAACCCTCCGAGCATCCCACCCTGACCCATCTCCCTATAACCTACCTAATCTACACATCCCTGAACACTACGGGCAATTTAGCATGGCCAATCCACCTAGCCTGTACATCTTTGGACTGTGGGAGGAAACCAGAGCACCCGGAGAAAACCCACACAGACACAGGGAGAAGACTCCACACAGGTAGTCGCCCAAGGGTAGAATCGAACCTGGGTCCCTGGCGCTGTGAGGCAGCAGTGCTAAGCACTGAGCCACTATGCCACCCCAAAGAAAGGTGAGAACTCCTTCGATCTGGAAATGAACCAGGGACCTAAGGATTATTAATTCTTCATTGGTACTTTTTATGTGCATGAGAATAAATATCTGTGTTTGTAGTATAACAGTAATTTGGGGATAATGAACAATGATCTTGCAGAAAGAATTTTCTGTTCAGCTTCAAAACCAGTTCCACACCCAAGGAACAAAATTTAAACTTTATTTATTGTGAAGCAGACATGTGCCATGTCTTCAGCTTCTCCAGTTAGTGAACAAATGAACTATACAGATGTGAAAATTCCTTGATCATGTCATAAATCAGCTCTGCTTAAAGGACAGGTAAACTTAGTCATTCTGACATTTAAAATGGTGGATACTTTTGCAGCGAGCAGTTGGTTTTGCTGACCAGTGCCTTATGAAAAAGAAAATGATAAAATGCTAAAATCATTGGAAAACCATTACTTCCAAATCTTTCTCCAAGTTGCATGTCATTTTGACCTGTGTAGATCCCTGTACCTTCATTGCTGTTGGCTTTTTCAACCTCTCACTAGTGAGATAACCCATCACCATATCAACAAAAGCAGTTCACAATCTCTGCAAAAATAGGTATCAGCAATCAATCTGATGAGCTATGCCTGCAGCCTGCAAAACAAGTGTTTCAGTTAGGAACAGATTTGATTGTGAAAGATGTTAGAATATTACTTGCTGTGTTTGCCAACTTGAGAATAGTTACTATTTTTCAGCAGTAAATAATGAACTAAAATATTTTGCAATGTCAAGCTCTTGAAAGGTGTTTATATCAATTCAAGTTAGATCATTTGTACATGTACACTTTCTAGCAGAGGTTATGGGATAAGTGGATACATACCCTGGTTGACTCCTTCTTTAGCAGAAAGATATTGAGATCAGTTCTAATATCCCTACCTCTAATCTAGTTAAAATTATTTATCTCAGCCTGGGATCATCTTGTCTTGGTTGATTTACAGCTTAAGAGCGAATTGAATGGTATATTTTTATTCAGCAGACTATTGACAGAGCTTATTATTTTGCATCTGCATTGAACTGTAGCTCGACAAAAATGTTACTGCAGATGTAATAGTTCTTCCCTGACTCTAACATGACAACCTTGTTCATCATATGAAGCAGAACTTATACATTTAGCAAAGGTTTTACTGAGAAATTTAAATTATAAGAGTTTACAGATGATTGCAAAATTGGGAGGTTGGATAGGTCGATAAATGTAATCATTCCCCAAACAATGGAAATGACTAAGATTAGCAACTTTGTTGCTCGACTGTTTTTTGATTCTCAAATAATAATTTCTTTTTCTTGATAATTTCCTTCTTTTCTTAATCACTAACAACATTTTCCTATGTAATGTTAATCCAGCCAGGAAAATAAACAATTCTACCAATCTTTTTGTTGAAATGTTATTAACCTGAAACGTTCACTCTAATGCTATGTCTAAAATGGCAACTGCTCTGCCCAAGACTGTAAGAAACTACAGAAGGTAGTGTGCACAGCCTGGACCATCTTCAAAGACTCACTGCTCCTTGTGATGACTTCCTACAACCTCTTCCGTCAGGCAGAAGATACAGAACCCTGAAAGCACACCAGCAGGTTCAGGAACAGCTACTTTCTGGCAGTTATCAGACTGTTGAATTGACTCTTGCCTCAAATAACGTAACCTGTATGCCTTTTAAGTCTTTTTAGATCTGTAAATCCTTTGCTTGGTGTGATCTGCCAATACCGCTCGTAAACAAAGTTTTTCATTGTTTATCTTTACACGTGACAATAAAATCAAAATCAAAAAAATTACACGATCCTGAGTATTTCCAGCATTTCTGCCATTGTTTCAGCTTTCCATCATCTGCTTTTGAGTATTTAGTCGCCATTTGTAGGGCTGTTCACTGAAATTTTAAACGTGTTTCCAATATTCAAACGATAACTGGTACTACGATCTATATGTTAGAAGGTCGAGAGATTCCTTTAGCAATGGAGGCACTTTACCCAGAATCCTCAGGGCGGTGGGATGTCCTCTATCCTTGCCGTGGTCAGCCACTGTGTAATACGCATGTCCGGAAGCTTGGTGGGAGCTGCAGGATATTGCTGGAGCCGCTGCAGACAATGGAAGGTAAAATCCAGTTGCAGATAAAATGGGATTGTGTTTTATAACAAACCAATTGTTACTTTCAAAATGAGGAAAATATTTTATTTTTTTTTAATCAACACGTTCACTTGTTTTTGTGTTATATTTTCTTCCCATCTGTTTTTGGCTATCTAGCATTCCCAGCGTAGAAATAGGTCATCGGGCCTAGCTTTTCTATGCCATTTTAAGTTTTTTGCGAAGATTTGTAGCTCGGGTTGTGGATGGGGTTGTTGGCTTGCTCGCCGAGTTGGCTGGTTATCGTACAGACGTTTTGTCACCATGCTAGGTAACATCATCAGTGCGGCCTCCGATGAAGTGACGTTGTTCTACGCTGCTTGGTATTTATATGATCAGGTCTGTTAAGTTGGGTTATGACATTTCCGGTTCTGTTCTGCATGGGTTTGTATATGGGATCTAATTCCACATGTCTGTTGATTGCATTACGGGTTGAAAACCAGGCCTCTAGGAATTCCCGTGCATGTCTGTGGTTGGCTTGAGCTAGAATGGCCACGTTGTCCCAGCTAAGTTGATGGCCTTTACTGTCCGAGTGCACAGAGATGGGGGAAAGTTCATTGTGTTGTTTTGCTCCTATCTGGTGTTCATGTATCCTGATGGCTAGTTTCCTTCTGGTCTGGCTGATGTATTGTTTGTTGCAGTCATTGCAAGGTATTTTTTAAACTATGTTGGTCCTGTATGTCATGGGTATGGGGTCTTTGGTCCTTTTGTGAGTGTTTGTCATAGTGGGTGGCCGTGGGTTTGTGTGCTACCGTGATTCCTAGTGCTCATAGAAGTCTCACTGTCAGTTCTGATATGTTTTTATATACGTCAAGAAATGTCATAACCCAACTTAACAGACCAGATCGTAATAAATACCAATCAGACTCAAACAACAACGCTTCATTGGAGGCCGCACTGATGATGTTACCTAGCATGGTGACAAAACTTCTGTACAATTCTGTACATGCAAGCCAACAACCTCATTCTATGCCAGAGTTTATAAACCATGCTAACCTCTTCCCATTCTACTTCATCTCCTGCTCTAAGCATAACCTTCTAGTCTTTTCTCCTTCATGTGTTTATCTGGCCTCCTCAGTCCTGAAGAAGGGTCATACTAGACACACAACATTAACTGTCTGTCTTTCTCCAAATATGCTGCAGACTTGCTGGGTTTCTCCAACACTTTTTTTTAAATTTCAGGTTTCTCTTAATATGTGTTTGCCCTTTTCTTGAATGTCATGTCAATCTGCAACCAGATTTCTGGGTGGGTAATTCCCACATGTCCCCATTCTCAATCCTGCTATTGGAGAGGTATGTCAGGGAGCCAGATCAAGCAGATTTTGTTCTGATTTTAATTAGCCATTATGCAGTAAGGGAGAGATGCATAAACCACACCATGCTGCAGCATTAAACAAAACAAAGGTCAGCTAGAATTTCAGTCTGACTCTCATGACCTGCACAGGCAGGTATGTGTTACGTGAAATAAAAACAGTGCTGGAGAAACTCAGCAGGTCTGGCAATGTTTGTGAAGAGAGAAACAGAGTTAACATTCAAGTTCAATATGATTCTTCAGAACTGAATGTATCAGCTGAAGCTGGGATCACGCTTGAATATGGTACCCTCCCCACTGTCGAGCGTTATAACATACGACTGAATAATGGCCACTTGGGTGAGCAGCACTGATGAAACAGTTACGTTATTGGATCTTTTTCACCATCCTTTCTTTAAATTCTTACCTCTCTCAAACTCAGATGGTACTGATGATCAATTTCCATGTGTTTTGAAAGTGCCTGTTGTTGTCTTGAGATATAGTTGAGCTCTTGATGGTACATCTGGACAACAAAAAAGAAACCCTGTTTCCTAATTATTTATGAGGAAATGAAATTTATCCTAAGGATCTGTTGAACTCTCTGCGGTTGCAAAAGCAGTGTTACATAACATCGAAGGTCACGGAGTTTAAAATGTGAAGTGAATCCATTGAACAAACAACAGATACTCTAACAATTATATAAGAATAACATTTTCAGTAGGGAGTCACATCAAAATCAAATAGAAGTAGTCACAACATTTTGTTTTCTAAGTTGTTAGAGTATCTTCAACTAACTCACTGAACAAATCAAATCACTTGTATACCCTTTCACTGATACTTGTAACTGGTTTTCATAAGTAACACTTAAAGTAATTGCTAATTGTACATTAAACTAAACTAAACAAAACAAGTTTGCATTTGTTAAGGTTTGATGGTTTCTTCCCTTAGGCCCACTGTTTGGGGTTGGGTAGTGTAAATATCTGTAGAAATTAGCTGCACCATGGGCCACTTTAATTTCCTTATCTCCTGCAATTGGATATTAAAAGGGACAAGCATGAGGCTAAACACTGAGAAGCAAAATAATGGTAAATTTTAATGATGGAACTGTGTTAATGCTTTTAAGAATGATGGACAAATAATAGAATGCAGGAAAACCCCCTTGATATTCAGTGTTTTCCCACTGCTGAATTTCCCACTTTCAACAGTGTTGGGCAGGGGAGTCATCATTAACCAAGTACCCAACTGGAGCAGCTACCTAAATGTCCTGAACACAAGTGTACGTTAGACATGAAGTACTTGCAACAAGTGATTTACCACTTGATTCCCCAAAGGCTGTTGTCCAAAGGTTTTATCATGGTAAGACGATGTGCCGTGTGTTCAGATGTGAGATAACTTGACCACCTTGTTTTGAACATGGTAAAGCAGCTTTCTTCAAGTCTGGAGTGGGTCCCAATTTCAAAAGTGTACTTAGCTTTGAAAACTATGTGAAGTGGAATGTGGATTGTGGATTGTGGATTGGAGCACTGCATGGGTGATAAAGTGTACACACTTGATCCAGCATTCTATAAAATTATTGATTTTCTTCTTCACCTCTTGTACTGAAGGTGAGCAGAAATAATATTTCAACCCCTGTTAGCCTCTTTGTCTGTAAACAATATATTTCAAAAACTAACTGACAAATCTCAACAGTACTTAGCACACAGAGTATGACCCAAGGACAAACTGATAAGTTTTTGGTGAAGATCTGGATTCTGGAACTTAAGAGATTTACTAATATTGGGAAATAGGACAAATAGATTGTTTTAAACAAGAATTTTGTGGGTTGTTTTATTTAGAATATAACTTTGTTGTGATGAAATTTGTTTACCACTGTCGAAATGTAAGCAGAGTTTTGAAAGCAAGTTGTTGAATGTGGATTAGCCTGAAGACTCCTTGATGAGATGTAAAATCTAGAAGAGCTGTGTAATTGCAATAATGTTGAGTTTACGTATGGCAAAGTAATCACTGAACTGAGTGCTATTTTCAGTTGATTGCATTGTGATCAGCACATTTTGATATTCATGTGGCTGTATCTGTGAAGGGTAAATTTTCATCTCTCCTTGTTCTGTGACAGTACAATAGACCACTGGCTACTATAGTGTTTTATGGCCATGAAGAACACATTGAGTTAGTTAAGACCATAAGAAATAGGAGCAGGCTGTTAAGCCCATCAAGCCTGCTCTGCCACTTAATAGGCTCAAGGCTGATCCAACATGTCTCACTTACATTTTCCTGCCCTTTTCTCCTAACCCTTGATTCCTCTATTGATCAAGAATCTATTTATCTCCATGTTAAGTGTTGCACACAAGGACTCTTCCCACAATTCTCTGTGGCAAGGAGTTCCAAAGATATTCAACCTTCTGACAGAAGAAATTCCTCCTTATTTTAATCTTAAATTGACACCTCTTTATTCTGAGACTATGCCCTCTGGTCCTAGACTCTCCTAATGGGGGGGAACATCCTCTCAGCTTTATCCTCTCAAGCTCCTTAGGAATCCTATGTGTCTCAATGATATTACTTCTCATTCTTTCAAACTCTAGTGCATCCCAACCTGTGTAATCTTTACTCATTAAGCAATCCCTGTATACCAGGGATCATCCTCATGACCTTTGCTGAACTACCTGCAATAAAACAGTATCTTCTCTTTAAATAAATGGGCCAAAACTTCTCACAGTAGTTCCCCTTTTTGTTTGCTTATGTTCAGCTTTTAGTTTAATTGTTTCTTTCCTGTATTGGTAATGTATTAAATGAGGCACTTCTAACTTTTAACACGATATGTAGCAGGAGAAGACCATGTGCCATTGACTGTGATCTGCCGTGATCATAATGTATGATCTGGGGCTTTGTCTACTTTCCTACCTGTTCCCCATATCCGAGAGAGTCCAAAAATCTATGTAACCCAGTCTTAAATATATTCAACAATAGACCATTCACAATCCTTTGGCACAGAGAACTTCAAAGTTTCACAACCTTTTGAGTGAAACCATTCATCCTCTTGTCAGCCTGCTGAGACTGGGGTAAACTACTGTCTCCCTTATGGGTCCACCTAAATCAGCCCCCACCCCTCTCGTATTAAGTGACAGCCAAGCAAGAGGCAATTGGATCCTCTTTTAAGGAGTGGCTGAGAAATGCCAGTCAGAAGTGTACAGTTAGAAAGAAGCAAAATACTGCAGATGCTGGAAATGGGATTTGAGGAAGGGTCGCTGGACCCGAAACATTAACTCTGATTTCTCTCCACAGTTGCTTGCCAGATCTGCCGAGCTTTTCCAGCAATTTCTGTTTTCTCCTCTTAAACGTTGTTATTTTACCTGCTAGTACCCTCACCCCGGCATCTGTGTTCCAGGTATCCCAGCAGTAAGTTGTCTCCCCAGTAAAACTGAAGGTGTAGGAGGTGACAAGGTGTAGAGCTGGATGAACACAGCAGGCCAAGCAGCATCAGAGGAGCAG